AACTTTTCAAACTCCACAGTGCCACTCAAGTTATTGGATGATAGATCAAGGTCTGTAAGGTTCTCAAGTTCAAAGATTGATCTCGGAATCAGGCCATGCAGGTTGTTATCGCTTAAAAGAAGCGATGACAAAGAACGAGATTGGAACTCAATGATATTACCGCTGAGTTGGTTACTTACAAGGGATAACTGCTCCAATGATGGCAAACTACCTAACCAAGATGGTATTGTTCCGTTGAGTTGGTTATCATATAAAATGAGCTCAGTTAAGTGTCGAGGAATAGGACCCACCAGTTGTTGTTTTGAAAAATCATATAAAGAAGAGATCAATGTCGAGTTGCTATCAACTTCTGGAAACTGACCGACATAATTGTTGCCAACAAGATTCAAGTAAACGAGGCTCTCAATGTTTAAAAAGAATGACCATGGGATTTGGCCACCAAAACTGTTAGACGAGAGGTCCAACCGCATGATTTGTGTGAGGTTACCAACAAATGCAAGATGTGATCCTACAAAATTGCAATTGCTGAGATACAAAGCTCTCAAAAACTTGAAATTTCTTGTCAAACGATGCCAATCTACTGAAATTCTAGTTTCAGAGAGCGTCAAGGTTTCGAGTGGACTGCTCCAGTTAGAATTGGGGAGAGAACCTGTGAGGTTATTGTTGAAGCCTAAGCTTAGTACTCGAAGGTTTGGTAGGCGGAAAATGTTTTCTGGGAATTTTCCTTGCAAGTGGCAATTAGAGAGTCTAAGAGTTGTCAGAGAAGAAGAGAGATTCTTGAAGGAATCAGGTACAACTGAAGACATGTCAACACCGATCAGTTGAAGCTCCTTAAGATTGGTTAGGTTTTGAACAATTCTGTTAAAGCTAAGAGTATCTAGTCTTACATCACGTAGGGAGAGATTGAGTGAAACCAAGTTGGAAAGGTGGGAAATTTCGGAAGGGATTGGGCCACTGAAATTGGAGTAATAGAGGTCAAGGTGAGTCATATTTACAAAGCCACCAAATTTGGACGAAATTGGGGAACCTCTGAAATCATTTCTAGAGAGGTCTAGCCTCTTGAGATGGCCAAGAGAGAATAAGCTGCTATTGGAATGGATATTACCTTGAAGCCCACCAAAATGAAGGTTGAGACCGATCACATGACCAGTCATCTTTTCACAAGTGACTCCACTCCACGTGCAACAATCCTTGCCTTTCTGCCAAGTAATTGTACTGTTAGAATAAAGAGTTGGTCCATTAAGTGATTCAACTTCATGAGAGGAGGTATCAATAGAAAAGGAGTTTTTGAATTGAAGCAAAGCAGAGCTGTCGTGGGGATGGCATAAATGCCTTGAAGAAAGAGAAGAGGAAGAGTTAGATGATGATGAACAAGTAGAGTTGAATTGAAAAGTAGTAAAGAGCAGGAAGAGGAGGCACAACCAACCCATCTTTCCTTCAAAATCTAAAAGTATATATTCTTCTAAATAATTTTGTGAGCAACTCTGTCCTGTAGATGTTGATATTTATAACAAGTTTGGGCAACAGTGATTTATCTATAATGTCACGATATGAGTCTAGTAGATGTGGCATAAGGTTGTCCTGCATTTAAAGTTTCCACAGTGCTAAGATGGCAAGTACTTAAGTTTGTGGAAAATCTTGTGGAAAATTTGGCAACCAAGGCGTTGATTTGGTATTTGGTCTTAGTAGGTATAATTTCTGCGTGTTCAAATGGTTTCCACGTGTTACCTCCAACTTCTACTAGTCAAAAGTTGTCCAATTTCTGCGTGTTCAAATGGTCTTGCTCAATCTTTTTCACATTTTCTTTAGATAAATAAAGTCATCAACATAAAAGTTAAACAAATCCTTTAGATAAAATCTAAATATTATAAAGCTAGTTCCTATATAGTAATAAAAAACATATTGCAACTTAATTATATAAAGATCGTACTGGGATCGGTTGTGGGGCTTGGGGAAAGTAGCTAAGGTGGGTTGTTGCGGGGGAAAGGGAGAAGAGAGAAGGTTGTTGCAGTTGAGATTAATTATTTTTATTTATTTTAGCTTTTAAATCTTATTTTTATTTCGTAATTATTTATTTATTTTAATTGAATTTAAATATTTTTTATTTTTATTAATATTTTAATAGAAGTTTAATAGATTGGATTACATTAGCTAACGGTGCTAAACACAGGGACTAAATTGGTCAACGGGCTAAAACACAGCGACCATTTAGCATTTAAGCCAAATTGTGCAAGATAGTGGTAACGGCCCTTCCAACTGATTTTCATTAAGATCAAGATTCCGCAAAATGTTACCCTTAGAAAATGTTGATATTTATATGAAGCTTAATGAATAGTAGTTTATCTTCTTTAGATAAACAGAGCACCATTGTCAAGCAGGTGTAGGTCCCATTGTTAGCTGCTACACCAATTTGAATTGTTGATAATTGACATTATTGAGGGTGAAAGCCTACGTCTATTCATCTAATTGGAAAAAATTTGCCCCAAGTCTTTGATATTTGGTAGTCTTTCGTCTTGGTACGTATGTAGGCATTTCTGCGTGTTAAAATGGGCACCTTAATTTTCATTGGCTTGCTAATTTGGATTCATAATTGACCATCAAAATCGTTTTTGTTCTAATCAAGTTGTCCAAATATGATTCGAATTTGCGTATTGAAGAAGCCAGGAACGAGTATTCATAAATTGACCATCAAAATCGTTCTTGACTTTTGCCTCCTTCTTCACGCTCTCATTAATTATTCACGGTTTTGCTTGTTTTTTCACTTTCTGTCTCCACCCTTAAGCATTTGATAGGCCTTAGGCCTTTAGTCCAATCTCTTTATGAACTTTCAGAGCAA